CGTCATGCAGCGTGCACACATCGAGCTGCGTGCGCCCACGTGGACGCTGCTGCTGCAGGCGCTCGTGCGCGACGGCACGCACGAGAGCTGGGCGCTGGTCTACGCGCTGCTCGAGCACATGAGCGCGGGCGCGGCACAGCACGGCACGCGCGAGGCGGCGGCGGTGCTGCACGGCGTGCCGGTGCCGCGTGCGACGCCGGCCATGTTTGCCGGCGTGCTGCAGACGCTGCACATTGCGCCCGGCGTGCGTGCGGAGCGCGCGCGTCAGGTGCGCAATGTGCTGCACGCCTCGCCGGATGCCGAGCTCGTGGCGGCCGCCGCGGCGCATGCGCCGCTGCAAGCGCAATTATCCATACTGGCATCTACAGAGCGCTAGGGGTCGCGGTGGTGGTGGTGGTGGTGGTCGTAGCTGGGTCGTGCACAAAGTCGACGCGCTTGATCGGGTGCAGCATCGACGGGGCGCGGCACACGTCCTCGCTGCCCTTCCAGCCCATGTACAACTCCTTGGAGTGCTGCGAGTGGTAGTAGAACGACGAATCCTTGTGGAGGTTTTCGTTCTTCTTCATGTAAAAGTTTTGCCGGTTGAGCAGGCGCTCCAGCTCGCGCGGGTCCCATTCGTGCCGGAAGTAGATGGGGTGCGGCGCGAACACGCCCTTGAACGGCAGCGGCAGGCTGTACGTGAAGCCCGCGGTGGGGTAGAACGAGTGGTCCTCGGAGCGCTCCATCTGCGAGTGGAGCACCAGCGTGGTGGGCCACGCCTCGCAGTGCAGCGACTTTTTCGCCTCGGCGTTGACCACGTTCATCGCCTCCAGCAGGCCGCGCGAGAGGCGCATGTTGGTCCCGATCGACGCGCGCCGGTCCGTGTCGCGCCCGCGCGGGTAGTTTTGCACGTCGTGCGTCCAGTACCACCCCGAGCCGCGCGGGTCAAAGATGGGGCCGAGCGTGATCATGTCGGCCTCCTCGCCCATGCCGCTCGTCTCCAGCGGCGGGCTGAGCCAGTTGCTCTCGGACTTGGACACGTTGCGCACGTACCATGTGTCGTACTTGTTCATGCCAGGCACGAGCGGCTCGCGGCGCGAATATTCCTCGATCCCCTCAAAGAAGTCGAGGTAGTTGCCGATGTAGCGCACGTCCATCTCCCAGTTGTACACGTAGTCGTACTCCTGGTGGTCCAGCCAGAACTTTTGCAGCGCCATCAGGCACGAGCGGTACGAGGTCTGCGCAATCATGTTGTTGATAAAGCGCCCAGGCAGACCCGCATACAGCACCTCAAGCTCCTTTTCTGTCCAGAAGTCGACCAGGCCCCAGAACTCGCGCGGCACCGAGGAGACCAGCACACGGTACCGGTCCCACTCGGACGTAAAAACGCTCAGGTCGCGGTTCTTCACCTCGACCAGGATTCGAATGTCGTACGGCGTGTTGGGATTGTTGAGGGACAGCTCGCTGATAAGCGCACGCAGGTTGAGGATGTCGTCCTCGCGCCACGGATAGCCCTCGTAGCTGCGCAGCACCAGCGCCGTGCGCTTCGTCTTGGGGTCCGTGCCGCGCAGCTTGGTCGCCTCGCTGTCCCACGCCGCCTGTGCGGTGCTGAACGTGTGCGCCTTGGTCTCGCTCGGGGCACCGGCGGCCACGCTGCTGTTCACGCCGCGCTCCGCAAGGCGCTGCGCGTAGCAGTTGTCCATCAGTTGTCGCCAGTCGGGCACATACACCTCGTCGGCATCACGCGTGTTGTACCGCGCGAGGTCCGCCCGCAACCGGTCCTCCCAAACGTTGGTGGGCACGTTGAAGTCGCGCTTCATCCCGTGCAGGGGGTCGTAGCCGAGGCGCTCGCGCGTCTCTTGCACCGAGGCGGTGCGCGCCTTTTTGTGGCCGACAGGCAACGGATTGTCGGGGTCCTCATCGTAGATCAGCTGGTCGTTCGCCTGCGGAAGCAGCTCGTCCGGTAGCCGGTAGGTGATGTTGAGCGCCTCGTCGGTGTACATGCCGTAGCGCTCACGGTACGTGATGCACTGCTCGTCATCCAGACCCACGAGCTTGTGGTCGCCCACGATCGCCTTGGGATGTGTGTCGGGCGTGGGGTGCGCCCCGGTGGGCGACAGCGGCACCACCTTGCCGTGCGGACCAGGGCACTGGTGCATCTTGGGGGGATAATAGGGTGCGACGGGCGCACCGAGATCGGCACACCCTGCGCATCAAGCGGAACGCGCGCATTGGGGTCCACACTGTTGCATTAGTATACCACATACCGGTAGTAGGCCATCTCGCGCCATTCCGGGCGGCTCATGTTGAAGATGAGCAGAGCCGCCGACAGGCCGAGCGTCACCACAAACGCAATGGCCTTCCATTTCAGCAGCACCCAGTGCACGACGTACAGCAGCAGCACAGGGATCATACCCAGCGTGCCCAGCCGGTCGCGCATCGTCATGCTGCGCGGCGCGCCGGGCTGCAGGAAGGGCTGCGACGACCCCTCGTTGGCAAAATCGGGCTCCTCATTGTCGGACACCGACACCGACTCGTATGGCCGGAAATGGAAACGCTGCGATAGCGCTGAGCCGCCTAGGCCCTTGTCGACTGGCACAGACACGGGCGTATCCTGCGAGTCGTCCTTCATCCCCGAGGGACTTCCGCCGCTCATCGACGTTGCGCGCTCGCCGAGGCCCTCCGGGCCTCGGCCGACACCAAGTTTTGTGCGGAGTGGAGGCGCAGCCGCCCTTTCTTGCCCCTCCCCACACGCACGCCGCACGGTTCGTCTCGGTGGAGACGGTCATCCTATTTCACTAGTAAAAGTCCTGATGGGAGCGTGGAGCGTGCCCGCGCTCTGCACGCAGGTTCTCAACAGCCAGCGTCGCGTCCAGATCAATGTCGTGCGCTGGGTTCAAGTCGCGCGCCGCTCGCCGCGAGCGCGTCGACGACTTGGCATAGGGCAGTTCGCTCAACGTCGTCGTGTCTTCCGTAGCATCGTACAAACTCCGCGAATATCCCTGCGATGCAGGCACCGCATCCAGCATGTCCTGACTCCACTCCGAGTTGGGTGTGCGGTGCGAGCTGGCCGCGCGCCGGCGCCGGCGCCGGCGCCGCTCGGAGGACGTGTCGAGCTGGTACACGGGCACCTCATCGTCATAGTCTTGCTTTTCGCTCGTGAGTTCCGAGCTGCTCGGGAAACTGTGCGGACCCTCCGAGGGAGCGCGATGCGCCAGCGCTTCGATCTCCTCGGGCGATGTCCACTGCGTCCCGACACCGGCGGTGCGGTATGGATCCGCACCATAGTCAGTCACGGGGTCAATTTCGGCGTCGACCCAGTTGTCCTCGCGCGACTCGCGTTTTTTCCGCAAGCGTCGCTTGGGCACCGTAGCTGCCCCGTCGATCGCCTGCGCCTGCATCCCATCGACCGGCTGGCCGGGCACATAACTCGCATTGATGTCCGGTTGCGCAACCGGCGCAGGCACTTGAATCTGCGCAGCGGCCTCACTGATCGGGTCGCGGTAAGCATAGCCGTTGCCCGCATAGTAGCCCTCATAAGTGGCCGGGTGCATGGGCTCCGCATACGGGTCGTACGAGGGCGCAAACGAGAGGTTGGAGTTGTTCGGCGGCATGTTGTACTCGGACATGGTCGGAGGGGTGTAGGGCTGCTGCATGATCTCCCGCTCCTGCTTTTCGTGCTCGGTCGAGGCCCACCGCGCAATCAGCAACGCAATGAGGGCAAATAGTGCCAGACCAGCGGCACCGCCCACAGCGATGCCGACCACTGCTCCGACACTCAAGTCACTGCCGCCCACGCCCGTGCCTGACGACGACGCATTGTTTCCCGCGATCGTCGGCACAGCGCTGGAGCTGCTGCTGCTCACACCGTACACTGGGGTCAAGGACTGCACAGTGCTCGCACTGCCAAAGTCGTTAGCAGACGACAGGCTGGGGTATGAGCTAGTCGAGTCGTCGTCGTTATCGTCGTCGTCGTCATCGTTGCTGCCGCTACGCCGGCTGCTGCTGCGATGCCGGGACGAGGAGCTGCGCGCACCACCGCCCTGGGAACTTGTCGATGTCGGGCTTGCCCTGCTCCTCGATGAGCTGGTCCGAGTCGCACGACTGGACGACGAAGACGAGCGGCGACCGCTCCCGGCGCGGCTACTGTCGTTTCCGGCGTCCGTACTACTATCCGAGCCGCGCTGGCCACGGCTGGATCCACGCGAGGAGGTCTGACCGGCAGGACGCCAGGAAGACATATCCGACTCGATGGTAAAGGCACTGAGCGGGTTGTATTCTGCATGAGTGCATGATGGCGCAACGAACCTCCAAAGAACGTGCGCTCCCCCGCAGCGCGCGCATCGAGCGCTGCATGGTTGTGCGGAGCCCGCCAGCGTCGCCTCATCGCACGGTGCGGCCCATGAAGGCTCTCTTGAGTCATGCTGGCGTCGCAATGGTGGGCGTTGACCAAAGGAACGGGTGTCTTCCTCGAAACGTCGCTAGAGTGGGGTTGCGCGCACAATTTCGCAAGGACCTGGGCCTTGGCTGACGCGCCTTAAAGTACTCTGCATCTACGATCATGCGCGTCTATGCACGTAACATGTGGAGGCTTACCTGGTAGCTGTCATCTGGCCGGGCGGGGCGTGGCAAGAAGGCGCCGAGCAGGTGCGAGCAAAAGCAGGAGGTGACAGCGTGCATGAAAATCCCACGCGCGACGTTCAGGGGTAATGCGCCACTCGATGAATACGGAAAGCGGAGTATATCGTGAGTGTCAGATGATTAACAATGCACCCGGTGTCTACCCGTGCGCTGGGGGAATCGGCCTGAGCTGAATTGAGGGTGCGAGCGCCTCGTCTGCTGCCGTGCGCAGCCTCAACCCCCCATAGCCATGCTACTGCAACTAGCTAAATTTATGAGAGCATGCTCGTCGGCAACGTGATGGCGTGGCCGGTGCGCGGAAACCCCGGACCAGGGCTGGGGAAACCCCGCCGCGGTCCACATGTTTAAGATAGCACATTTGACAAACCTTGTGATTTTGTTCTCCTGTCGTCTAGTTGGTTTATGACACGGTGCTTATAGAGGTTCTAGCCCCTGTGACGGCCCGCTTCGCTGCGGATAGAAACGCCGTTGTCCCGGGTTCGAGTCCCGGCGGGAGAATTTTTTTTAATGCGTGCGGGGTTGTGCGGGGCAAAACGCCGCGTGCCCCCGGCTTAGGTGAGCCGATTTTCCCGCCGCACTGTTCACGTCGTCGATGGAGGTGCTGCGTGCGCTGGGACGGTCGCCGGGCCGTACGCTCGGGTATGCGCTAGGCGCCTGGGCAGGTGCCTGGGGTGTATTTTACCTATTCCAAGAGACGCACCGGCATCTCGCACTGCGCGCGCGTCAACGCAAGCACCCGCTGCAGTTGCGCGGCGATGAGAAGGATGCCGCTTGGTTCGGCTGTGCGAGTGAGAAAGAGCGCGCCGACATCATGTCACGCTTTGCACCGCTCCGGTTTTGCGGTCGATACCTGAACGTGACACCGGAATGGCGCGAACAGGGCATGTGGGAGTGGATGTGGTGGAAGGTGGTGCACACCGCGTTGTACCACGGCCGCTTTGGCTGGGATGGCGGCTTTGCGCAGGACGAGAAGACCGAAGAAGGTCGCAAAAAAATTGAGGCACTGCTGCCCGTGCAGCAGTTGGACACGGCGCGCCTGTGGGGCTCGGGAACGGAGCCTGCGGCGCCCGCCTCGGGGATTACTTATACGTGGTACGTGTGTGTGTGTGGGTGCGGCGACTAACCTTGTGTAGGATCGGGCAAAGCACCTGTTTGGTTCAGATGCATGGCCTTACGGTGCTGACGGACCCTGTGTTTGGCAAGCAGCCGCTGGAGAGTGTTTTGAGCCCGACGCGGATGCGGCCGATGCCGTGCACCATTGACGAGATCCGCAACGTCGACGTGGTGCTAGTGTCGCACAAGTACGTGGAGCGTCTGACCTAGTCACTTTGACCATCTCGACCTGTCTATCGTCCCCCACATCCCCCACCGCACGCGGTGGATCGTGCCGCAGAATGTGGCGCCGCTGCTGGTCCGCAGCGGGGTGCGTCCGGAACAGATCACCGAGCTGAGCTGGTGGGAAGAGGCGCAGTCGGCGTTCCGCGTCTCTGTGCAGGCGGATGCCGGTGTGCGCTCTGCCGAGCGCACGCTGCGCGTCGCGGCGGTGCCCGCGAGCCACTGGAGTGCACGCACGCCGCTCGATACCAACAAGTCGCTGTGGAACTCGTACGCAGTGCAGGTGGAAGCGGCCGACGAGCCCGACGCGCGTCTCTTTTTCTGCGGCGACTCGGGCTACAGCCCCTCGCTGTTCCAGGCGGTGGGCCGCATGTACGGACCGTTTGCGCTGGCGACGATCCCAATCGGATCGTACGAGCCACGCTGGCATCTCAGCCTGCAGCACATGGACCCGCATGGCTCGGTGTGTGTAGCGCGCGATGTGGGCGCGCGCACGAGCTTTGCAATGCACTGGGGAACGTGGAGTATGAGCGGTACGTATGGCGCGCATGGGCGCGGCTAACGATGCAGACGAGCGCTGGGACGATCCGCCCAAGGACTTGGCGCACGCGCTCGAGTTGGAGCGCCTGCCTGCGGCCTTCCTACGTACGGTGCCCTTTGGCGCGACCCAATCTGTACCGCTGTAGCCCACGGAACGAGGCGGCCGCCATGCAGCCGACGGTCGCTCAGGTGGTGGGCTGCGGCGCACGCGGCGATCGGCGATCCCACATGCGCCCTTGCTCTGGCGCCCCGCGACGCGCTGCGTGTGTGGCGAGGCGACACGCAGCGCACGCTGCGCGGTGGGCGCCATCTCACTGACGTGTGCCGCAGAGCAGCACGGGCACGGCCTGTACGCTGTGCAAGGGTGGCCGGCGGCCTTGGGGAGAAAAAAACACGGTAGATTGTCTGTCTAGGAAACGACGTTGCCGTGTGTCGCAAACTCGGCGTGCTTTTGGCGCTCGCCCTGCTCAAATGCGCGAGCGCGCGCCAAGCGACGTGCGAGTGGGTCCTCCTTCTTCACCTGGTATATGCGCACGAGCCAGTTTTGCGAGGTGAACACCTCGTCGAGGATGCTCAGCTCCGGCGACTTGGACGGCCCGCGCGAGCCGCGCACGCGGTCGGTCGCTGGCCCGCCGCCGAACAGCTCGTTGAAGCGGTAGTAGCTCATCTTGTACATGAGGCTCTCGCGCATGGTGGGCGTGGCCTGGTCGTCGACGCGGTACTCGCCGTTGGGCGTGAAGAACTTGCTCTCGTTGATCTCCTCGGGCCAGATGCCCTGCGAGATGCGGATCATCCACAGGAACTTGTTGAGGTCGTCGCCGCTGTAGCCGATGAGCCCACCAAAGATGATCAGGATGTAGTCCACGTCGTGCTTGCGTAGAATCGGGTACGCCTTTTCCTCAGTCGTCGCCATGGCGCGGCCGACGGTCGCAATGTGCGTGTTGTTCCACGTGTTGTTGTCGACGAGCGTCGGGCGGTCGGCGAACCCGGCGATCTGGTAGCCGTAGTCCCACCAGCTCATCACTTTGGCGTCGCGCTTGGTGTTTTCGTGGAGCCAGTAGTACGCCTCGCGGAAGTCGTCGATCATCGACATGCTCCCGTCCGGGCGCGACGAGGCCAGCACCACCGATGGCGACGAGTACGCCGAGGCGGTCGTGTAGGTGCAGTGCAGCACAAACAGGACCAGCATGCTGAGCATCGACACAAACACGAGCGCGCGCGTCGCGAGCGACGCGATGCGCGGCGCGCGGCGCGGCACGTCGGGCACGTCGGGCACCTCGTCGCTGGCGTCGCGCTTGCCCTTGGCGCTCTTCTTGGTGGCCGAAGGCATCGGCGCCGGTGGCGGGTTCGGCGTTGCAAACGTGTCGAGCAGCGTGCTGACGGCGACCGCCGCGCACACGCACACGCACGGTGTGAGCGTGAGCATCAGGCGCACCATCACGCCCGAGAAGTAGGAGCCCATCACCGCGTAGATGATCACAAACACGTGCTCGTCGCGCAGCTGCTTGAACAGGAAGAAGACGCCCACCGGGAAGAAGACGATGAGCGCCTGCAGGTCCATGAAGTACGCGGGCCACGCGGGCGGCTGGTGCTCCGAGACCGAGGCGATGATCGGGATGTGCTTCTTGGCGTAGCCCGTGTCCCAGAGGGAGTAGAAGCGGCCGGTCCACGGCGCGATGTACCCGCCGTACGTCAGCGCGACGAGCGCGGCAAACGCGAGTGCCGCGACCACCACGACAAACGCGCGCACGAGCAGCTTAAACTGGCTCGTGTTGACGTACGAGCGCATCAGCTCGGTGAGCGCCACGAGCTGCAGCAGGCCAAACACGCCGAGCGCGGCCATGTGCTCGCTGGTGCGCACGGGCTGGAAGCCAACAAAGGGGATCTGCATGCTCGCCAGCGTTCCAATCACGTAGAACGACGAGTAGGCGACGTACACGCGCGTGCTGTAGCGACCCATGAGCAACAGCACAAACACGTGCAGCGGAATCATGTTGGTGATGAACACGTAGCCGCCCCACGCTGCAACCATGTAGAAGTAGAAGAGCGCGGTGAAGACGCCGTACAGCATACTGCCGTCCTTCACCGCGCGGATCCACAGGTAGAAGGTGAAGAGCAGCAGGAAGATGGCGATCGCCTCGTTGTCGTACGAGCCAGCGACCGAGCGCGAGATGTAGCCCGGCGCGATGCCGACAAACAGCGCGGCGAGCAGGCCGGCCGACTCGTCCTTCATCGTCTTGGTGAAGGCGTATGCGGCGAGCGCCGTGAATCCGCTGAACAGCGGCGCGAGCATCACGCAGATGTCGCGAATGTTGACGGGGATGTTGAAAAAGTGCAGGATGTTGTACAGCGTGCCGCTCGTGATCATCAGGCCGGGGAACACGGTGCCGCCCGCGGCGCGCCCGAGTGGGTACCACGCGGTGGGGTCGAACCAGTTCCAGAACCGGTAGTAGCCGTCCTTGGTGAGCACCTTGGTCGCCCGGTAGTTGAACCACGGGTCGAACTCGTGGATGATCGACTCGTAGCGCACCACCGCGAACAGCCGCGAGGCCACCGCGGCTCCAATGATCATGATCAGGATGACTGTGCGCAGCAGCGACAGCATCACGCGCGCATCCGCGTCCGCGAGGCGGTCGCCTCGCACCGTGCTCATCGTCGTCGTGCGTGCGCGGGGCGTGCAGCGCCACGTGCCGACACGTGGCGCTTGCTTCGCACGATGGCCTTGCCGTACGTGCGCGCACGCGCGTACACGCTCGCGCAGGACGTGGCGTGGGACGATGTGTACGTCACTGCGTCGCTTGCCGACGTGCTCCGGCACGGAGAGGTGAGCGCCGCGCCGCTCGCCGTCTCGGTCGCGTCCGCGGCGGACGCCCGCGAAAAACGCGCGTCGCTTCTCGCGGCCGGCACGCTCGCCTGGGCGCACATGGCGCCGCCCGAGATGGAGGACTCGTTCGGCATCGAGCGCGGAGAGCTCGCCGTGTTTGTGCCGCTCGCGCACGCCTGGCGCAGCATCCAGGGCGCCGAGTCGGTCGCCGTGTGCGCCGTCCAGCCGGTGCCGCTCACATGTGTGTACCTGACGCTGCCGCACGACGCGTACACGGCGTACACGCAGCACCAGGACTCGCGCGCTCTCCTTGCTCAGCTCGACGGGCACATGGTGCGCTCGGGCGGCGCCATACACGCGCCGGGCCTGCCGTGCGCCGCACACTGCCTGCACACGGAGCCGGTCGCGCAGGGCGCCGTCGACGCACGCACCACCGCACTCTACCTAGTGGACGGCGGCGCGACGCCGCCAGGTGCACCGCATGGGCCGCATGCGCCCGCGCCGGATGCTTCTGCAGCGCCGGCGCCCGACGCCGAGCTCGTGCTCGACGAGACCTTCTTGGAGCGGTCGCTCGCGCGTGCGACGCTCGACGATGAGGCGCACGCCGTGACCGCGCATCGCACCGTGCTGCGCGTCGCGCTGGACGCGGACCGCGGCGTGCTGGAAGACGCCATCGCACACTGGCACAAGGCCACGGGCACCGACACCTACATCGACACCGAGAGTGTCGTGCTCGTGAGCGACGCAGCGCTCGCGCGTCTCGCGGCGTTCAACGGCGACTGGGCCCTTGCCGAGGTGC